CATCGCAACTTATATGACACCCAATATAAGTTTAAAAAAAATATGACATAATAACTTTTGTTAGTAACATAATTTAAAAATAATGGTTAGAGAGCTTATAGTAAATAAAAAATATAAAAGTAGGAAAGTTAATTTAAAACCTTTAAAAGCATTTGAACCTTTAAAGGCGTTCTTTGCAATTGTCTTAAAATTTATAAAAATTTTATATATTTTAGCCTTTTTTTTTTTAACACACACCTCTGAGCCACGTGGTTAATGCAAGCAACTCTCCAACTTTGGTGCTTACATCATGATGATAGTTCTGAGCATTAATCTTTCAAAGGAATTTACATGCAATTAAACTGAGATTGTTTAAGAATTAAGAATGAGAATCCTGTAAACCATACGCAATTGGGGAACGTAGGTTGTTTAATACTATAGGTTGGCTAATCTACTTAGCTTTCAAGGTAAGCAACCTAATGTCTAAATTTGGCTATTCCCTTTCCAGGTAAATTCTGCTCTCCCCAATAATTATTTCAAAACAAATATATATAATAATAGCAATATAAGAGACATGTTTGGTTGGGCGGTCTACGTAGCTTGCTCCTTTTTGTTTTTGACCAACTGAAGAAAAAATGATGCCGTTTCCTTTTGTAAAAAATCAAATGATAATATTAATAATAAAAGAGAAATTTACATACAAGTCCCACGCAATATAGTTAATTACTATAAAATTTATTAATAATTAAGTTAAGGAAATGACAAACCATTGTATTGTGTGGACCTTAAAGTAATTCTCTCATGAAATGTTTTACAAATGAATATAAAACAAAAAATGAGAGAGAGAGAGCATGCAGGAGAACAGTTTAAATTTAATGTTTTAACTAGTTAAATCGAGAATCAACTTTTGATCCTATTTGGTTGACTCTCCAAAATCAGGCACAAAGAAATGGGTCAACAACCAGAAAAATTGACTAAAAATTGAACTAGTTTCCTTAAAATATCATATAGAATTAATTACAAATTAAAAATAAAAAGTAATTAAAGCAAAAACAACCAAAAATAGTAATATTAAAAACCATGGGCCATGAGCTGCAAGTTTTACAAAATCGAAGCCTGTAATACTTCAGACGCCCTCCACCCCACTTTTTATGGATATACACGAGGCCTCACTTCTCTTCGGATTTGAGCGATGTGGGACTTCTACAGTACATATTATTGTCCACATATTTCACAACTTACTGCATTCTTTCCCATTATTCTTTTCCCCCCCATGATTTTGGTTTTTTTTTTAATGTAAACACATATATTTAATATTAACACTTTCTACTATTATCTATATTTTTTATTTAAACTTGATTTTTTAAAGTTGACATAAATATGTATTCAAAAAATGTCTAACATCATCATTTTATCAATAATAATGTATTCATCAATAATAGATCATTTTACTAAGTATTTATTATTATTTTTTAAAAAAATATAAATATTTGCATGTATTTCTTATCTAATTATAATATATAAATTAAAAATATATTAATTTAATATCAATCAATTTAACTACGGCTGAAGTAATGAATCGTGAATCAATATTTATTATAATTCAATAGTTGATTTAATTTTTAAAATCTTAATTAAATCTTATGCTTGTGGTCTGGTACAATGAAACAGAAATGACGCCTTTTTCACTTTCAATTGAATCACCACTGTTTCATCATCTAGATCTATGCCTAAGTACTAAGAATATTTTGTTGTTTAAAAGATAGAGGTAAATAATAATTTGTTTATGTAAAAAAATAATATAAATAACGTGTTTTATTTTATAATTCATTACCCTGTACACATTCAAATATAAATAATTTTTTTATTTCAGAACTTGTTATATGCGTGTAAATTAAAAATCAAATAAAATGTTACGTCTTCTATGCTATAAAAAAAAAAAAACTTGTTTTACTTTAGTATTTATTATCTCGCATATATTTTTTATTGTATATCTTTAATTTCCTTTTTTTTTGTTTAAGGAGTCTAAAATCCCTTGGATACGAAACATTTTTAGTTTATATTTATTTTAAAATATAATTAATGTGTTTTTTAAAAATATTTATAACAAATAAATTATTTTATATTTATTTTAAAATGAAACACTTTATTAAATAATCTATTCTGTATTGGTCCTTATCTATAAATAATTTTTTAAAGGATTCTTGAATGTGATTTTTCTTAAAATTTTTATTTCAAAGACTGAAATACCTTTTATGAAAAACTACACTGGCAGAACCCTAACCTTAATCTGTTGGAGGTTGCAACCATTGCCAAGAAAGCAATGATCAAAATTTTGAATCCAAAGCAAAATACTTGTTTTCTTTAACTTTTACTTACTCTATTGTGGTCAAGAACTTTGATTTCTACCATTAATGGAGTTCATTAGGACATACAAACCTCATTCTCTTTCTTCTCGGCCATATCCAGAAGCAGGAATTGCGTGTTCTTAGATCTACAGAGGTACTGAAGATACTTGCTATTAAGCTTACTCGTCGGAGCTACATGGCCTTGTGATGTAAATCTTAGAGTATGACAGAAGTCGTTGATGGTTGTTGGAGGTTGTCGTCACTGAGATGTTCACCAACAATGGGTGAGAAGATCACCGACGATGGGTGGTAGCCGGTGTGAAAGGTTAAAAATGTCACAAATCCCACTTCCATCCATGGGTCAAGAGGTGGAAATCAATTTAAGCACTTTTTTTTTTTGTTTGGAATTTAATTCTGTGTGGAATTCACATTTGACATACCAAATAAGTTAAAATTTCATTTCCATTTTCAATTCAATTTCCTTGATGCTCAATTTCATCATCCCAAACGACCCTTAAAAATTTGATAGCACTTCCCTCGCAACATGAAAAATCAAAATTAAATTTCTTATTAAAAGACATTTTTATATTTAATATTCAAACAGAATTATTTCTGGTAAGAGATTATTTTTAAGCAGTTTTGTTTTTTTTTTGTTTGATGCCATTTGTAATTTTAATTTGGAAAAGCATAATTATTGGTTTTTATATTCTTAACATATTTTAATATTAGTTCTTATACTTTTTTGGTTGTCGAATTCCACAAGTTTTATTTGTCTGTGATATCAGGCCTTATATTTTTTAAATGTTACCAGTGAGTAATGCGCACATAAGCTTTTTTACTTTTTGTATTAAATTGTTAAAATTATAACGAGTTGTATAAAAAATGAGTAAAAAAAAAATTATAATATTGAATCAAAACCCTTAAAGACACAATGAGTGAATATTTAAAAGGGAAAAAAAAAACGACAACTATGACAAACAGGCAGAAGTGTTAGTGACTATTTTACTTATGCAATGTTTAATTGATAATCATTTTACTAATTCAATGATATAATTAACATAGCTAGTTATGCGCAGAACAGCAGATTTAACTTCGGCAATGATAAATGTGACAAATGAAATTTTAGGGACTTGCATAACAAAAAAATAAAAAAAGTATAAGAAGTAATAACAAAACACCTTAAAAGTGTAGGCTTCTCCTTTTAATTTTTCGGTGCTTGTGCTTTGCCCGCGCGGCCCCTACCTATGGCCGCATCTTTTAGATGCTAAATCAATTTATCTGGGACCACATTGCACTTAAGCTTGAATATTTTATTCACACGTCCCTTTCACAAATCAAGCAATCAAATTCTTATGCTTTTTTTTTTTTGGAGTCAAATTGGACTTTACTGGGGGAAAAAAAAGGACGGAAAATGAGTGTTAAATATCAGCCCACTAACCATCACATTAGGTGCCTCTTTTTTGCAAGTTCCATTATTTTTAAAACCAGACCAATTAACCATCTTTCAATCTTACATAGATTATTTCTTGAGTCAATGGCCTTGTACCATAAGCTCGTTTGTAAGAAAGAGTTGTGAGTTTGATTCTACTTATAACTTTAGGTTGTTAGTGCTTGCCTCTACAATTTAAAAAAGAAAATATTTTTTAAGCTTAGCTTAACTTTAGGTCGCATTACATGTGAAAGTTGTTGCTTTTTCAAATTACTCAAAAATAATCTTCTAACATTTACAATTTGTAGCTTGTTTGGTTCTTCGTTTTATGCTCAAAAGTACTATTTGCTGACCAAGTTTGTATTGTATGCTTGTTTGGCTATGCTCCTCTGCCAGTTAGCAAAATGGAATCTCACTAGAAAACTGGGTTTTGCAAGTGGGAAAAAAAGAGTTCTTTGCAGAAAATTGGGTTTTGTAAAAGAAACCTTTATCACTCCAACAGTCCACAACAAAGATATGATTGAAATCATGCATTGTTGTGTACTACTTGTTCCAAGTATGTCCAATGCATGCTAATGAAGATTTGACATTATGTCTCTTATTTCATGATTGCAATTGTTTGCGGTTTGTTTGTTGGACATTATAGTCATGGAATTAATTTAAAAAAGGTATTGTGTTTGGTAAGGGAAAAAAACAGTTATTGCGTTATTCTTCAAATTAATTTGGGCCATACTCTATGCATCACTTCTGGACTTGGCCCAGACACACAATCCAAAGACAGTCATATTACCTAATTTGCGATTTAATCCTTGTATTTAATTGGATCACTATAATTCTTTTTTAATATGTTTTATTTAATGTTTTGAAACCCTTCGCTAAACGTTTTTTGGAATATATTCAAAGTATTATAACCATTGATATGACATTTCATTTTTCATTATTTCAAAGTCACCGGGGGCCAATCCCAAATTAATTAATTGGATGAAATTGTGAATAATAAAAGCTGTGTTCCTTTTGTAAAAAGGTTGCACAAGACAATAAACCATGATTTATTATCGATCCATAAAGCATGAAAATATTCTAAAGTTCACTTTTTAAAATTTTCTAAATTTAAAAGTATTTGAGTCGTCAGATAAATCACGTGATGACAGATACATTTGATTTTGATTCATAAGTAACAATATATGAACATAGGACAATATGAACATAAGTAATTATTTGATTTTGATTCATTTAATTAAATGCTCTCAAATTCAAGAAATTTCATAGAATGAAACCCGGAGGTTTTTCTTCCTTTATTATCAATCATGATTGAAAAAAAGTAAAGTATTTACAGTAGGTTCTTATGAAATTGCATTCAGACCTTGGTTGAAGAACATGGTAAAGGTGTCCATTTTCTTATGAGGCAAAGCCAAACCCATCTCTATCCCACCATCAACATCTCTGCTCTCAATAAGTGAAATGGCTTTGCTCTTATCAATTGATATCTCCTCTATCTTCCTTGCCTTCCCCCACCCAAAATCTGTCTCATAAAGCTTCAATTTTGGAGACCATGTTGCCACCACATGGAGCTCCGACCCGTATATCTCCTCCCAATCCGATACCCATTTCTCTGCTCCGTCCAGCATCTCCTTATCCAGCTTCTTAATTGTGCCTCCGATGGCTCTCGCCGCCGCCACAATCCCATCTTCTCCAAGCAACTCATCCCTCATCGCAGACCCACGACCGAACCCCACGCAATTCCCGAGATAAGTCGCCGGCACAGGAAATTGTAGGCGAGTCATGCCGCCGGCGATGAACCCGAAATAAGCCGGATCCTTGTGGACATGTTCGTTGCTGGTGATTTGATGAGTTTTGAGCATGCAAACCCAGAGAAAAGCACATGTTAAGACGTAAGGAGATAAGTGCACAGGCTGGGACTGGTTCTTCTCTCTGCATAATGAAACAATGAAGCGTTTGATCTTCTCCATCTGAGTCGGATCCATCAAGAAAGTGGCTCGAACCAGGTCGCTTAGCGATGAGTTGACCTTGGTGTCGTCAATGAAAGAAGTTCTCTTCCGGCGCCATTGCTTCAAGAAAACCCCTTCAAGCCCATGGGAATCCATAATCACGCTTCGATCATAAAAGGGTAGGGATTTGCATGGAAACGATGAAGCTTGGGAGGAGGAATACGCTGCCCAGGTCTTCATGAAATTGTTGAAGGTTCTTCCATCAGCAATAACATGCAGATAAGCGAGTCCGATACAAATACCAGAACCTGGGAACACGGTGATCTGAATAGCCATCAAAGCAAGCTCCTTTGTTCCAGATTTCAGCTCGGGAACAAGTGGGTAGAAACAATTGACGTCTCTGGCATGGTTGCTGCAGAGATGGTTAAAGTCGTCGGCGGATTCAGCGACGAGCAGAGAGACAGAGTTTGCTTCGGAGTAAACAATGTGGGGTTTGGAAGGTTCCGGCGAGGGAAGGAAGGTTCCGGCGAAAGGGAAGTAGTGTTGCAGGGTGAGGGAGAGAGAGTGCTTGAGGTTAGGGAGAGTGAAGGCGGTGAAGTAAGAGAGAGGGAAAGGGAAGTCGAAGAAGAAGAGAGGTTGGCTTGGGGAGAAGAAGAGCCATGGAAGGTCGAGGAAAGTGAGAGGAAGAGAGGTCGGTGAGGTTGAACGTGGCGGAGGAGAGACCTGGCTCTGCTCGATTATCTTCACTCTGAGACCTTCACACATGGTTGACACCTCAGAAGGAAGCCTGTGATGAAGAAGAAGGTAAATTGTATGGCAGGCTGCTTACACTCAGTCTCAGGTTCTTAACTCTTTTGTACTTGTCAGGACACAAGCAGAACACAAGGCTCTGATTTAGTGCCCACTCGCACTAATTTGGATAATAATATTTTAAAATTATAAGATATTTTCTTTAAAATGTTATATTTAAAAATACAAGATTTTTTTATTTTTTAAATAATTAATTATTTTTCAAAAAAATAATTTCAATAAATACTTAAACATTGACGAGAGTTGTCATTAAGATACGCTATTATAAAATAAAAATATATGGAGAGAAGCAATATAATTTTTAATGATATGAACTGTATTTAAGTGAAAATTAATTAAAAATGACATATAATTTCAGATGGAGGGAGGGATTGAGGGAGTAACATTTCTAGGTGCATTTTGTTGATGTTTGAAAACATAACAAAGTGCGGATCTTGTAATGGTATTAACAATAATTGGAGATCTTGAATTAATGAAATATTTGTGAAAATATTATATATAGTCTTCATTTACAATATTAAACCAACAAATTATTTAATTTATGAAAATTTAGTTACAAATTTAAGAATGTTAAATCCAAGGGCAAAAAAAAAAGCAATGCATGAATCATGAATTTATCATTGTTATTTGTGAATTTAATAAAGTTTATTTGTGAATTTTTACTAAATCACTTGTAAATTTGTGAAAAATTAATTCTGAATGATTAGATGATCTTATTGATTTATACACTCTCTCTTATAATTTATTAACAATCACTTGTGAATTTAAGAAATGCTACCATTTATGAATATGTGACACATATTGTGAATGGATATTAATAACTTTAATTCCAAATCCATAATCTAGGAACTTATTTTTATTTTTGAATATTCATTTACAACTAATTTTCTATAATTTCATAAATTTATAAGTAATTATTCTTACATTTACAAATAACAATGTATAAATTCATGATATTATCTATTCATTTACGTATTATATGAATTTACATATAACTTTAAATTCACAATTAATTTTTCTTAAATTTATAATTGACTTTTCATTCACCACTTCAATAATTAGAGTTCTTTTTATTATTAATAAAAATTATGATCCTTACATGATGGGGTATCTTAATAATTCAAGATTTTCAATTATTATTATTAATACTCAACAACCATATTGATAATTGCCATTTTTCTGTAATATTTTGTGATGGTTGCTTTCGTCATTGACAATACTTTCCTACTTCCGTTCATTTGCAGAATGACCAGAAAAAGAATAGACGCGTGTGAACAACGTGTGACCGAGTCAAAGCTAATTATTTATTACGGGCGGAGCGACACGTGACTACCATATAAGAAGAAAAATTAACAAGGAAGGATTACGGAATAATTAAATTACAGAGAAGGACCGGAACATAAAAGGAGAAACAATTGAACAAGCATGCCGACAGATATGTGTTTGAATTTCAGTTGGATGTGACTAATAAAAATAATAATAAATATAATTAATTAATAAAATTTATTAATAAGATTGATTTTAATAAAAAAAATAAAAAGTATAATTAAAAAGAAAAATTGAAAAGTGGGATTGAAAATTAGGTAAAATTATAATTTTATAAAAATATATCCAAACACTTCTACTACATGTTAAAATTAATTATAAATTTAAAATTATATTTTTTAAAAAATATGCAAATATCCACAATGCATGTCAAAATCAATTATGAATTCAAAATTATAATTTTTTAAAAAATATTCAAACACTTTTATACATGTTAAAATCAATTATAAACTTAAAACCATGATTATCTTATAAGTTATTATTATCTACTTTTCAATTATACTTTTCTAAAAATTTATATAAAAATATTATAGACTATTTTAAAAATTCTTATATAGTATATGTCGAAGAATTGTCTAAAAAATTCCCTCTTCTTGGCGTAAAATGACATAATGATGTGTAAGTTGTAAACAATTTAATTTAAGCTTCGTCTTCATTATGTGTGCATATCCTAGTGTGTGCGTGTGTGTACTCTGGAAGGGTTATTAGTTTCTGCCATCCTGAGCTGTCAATAATGAATTAAATTCCTTTGTGGAACTAATATTTTTTGTGATGAACTAATATTTCCTGCTACTCTGGTCATGCCGTATATGATTATCTATAGATAATTAATAAATTGATCCTAAATTATATGTCTAAAAGTTTCAAGGATCTTAAACTTATTTTTTAATGCAATATTCGTATTGACTTTTCAAAATAATAAAATCTGACCTTTATCATTAACAAAAGTTAATTTTAACAGTCAATTGATATAAAAATGATAAAAAAGTTATAAAAATGACAAAAAATTAATATAAAGGATTGAAAAATTATAGACAAAGATCTAAAAAATTGCAAAAAATGACCAAAAAATTTTATCGATCTTTTTCCATTATTTTTTAGCCAACTAATTTTTAGAGTTAACTTTTGTTAATGATAGTTAGTAGATGCCAAATTACTGTTTTCAAAAGTTAAAAGGAAACATTACATAAAAAATAAATTTAGAAGTCCCAGAAGCTCATAAAGTGTAGTTCAAAAGTCAATTTACTCATTACATATTGATAATAGTTGGAGAAAAATAGGCATCCTAAATAATACTAAAAAAATTTAATACTCAAATTATGCGAATCACAGTAATTGAATAAAAAAATCACAATTTTTTAAGTAAAATTTCTTTTATCAATGAAGTTCCAATTCTTAAAATAATTAATTATAATTTTGTTTAAATAATTACAACTTTTATCATGTGAATCACAAGAATTAAAAAAATCCCAACTTCCCCCTTAAACCTATTTTTTTAAAAATTTTAAATAAGTTATTTATTATTTAACTTGAAATTATTAATGTCAAAATGATACTTAAAAACTTCAAAGAAATTATGATATCTTAAGAAATCTGATTATCATTCATATATCTTGATAAAATTTTATTATCATTTTTCTGTATAAATAAACGGGAGATCATAGAAAATGCCAATATGGCGGAAAAGTAATTAGCATATTTGTCCTATTGTGCGCAACTTTAACATTTCAGTCATGTTTCATGATCAACAACGCTATTCTTTGCACTAGGAGATGACATCCTCCGTGACTTGTTCAATTATTCATTTCTTCTGGAGTGATCTTGGGGAAAAAAAGTCCTTTTACCGAACCACTAAATCCAATTGGTTCAACTGATGAGAGATTATGGTATTCTATTTAGAAATCTTGAATTCAAGTTCTAATAATGTATTAGTGTTGTCAGTGTTTGAAAGGATTCCGTCTTAACTGGAATTACTCAAGATTCTCGTGAAAGTCCTCTCAATTTAACATGAGGTAAATCCTTGGCTCAAAGCAAAAAAAAAAAAAAAAAAGGGAGAGAAAAAACAGACGGAGAGAGAGCCAAATCTAAGATGTTGAATGCTTTAAAAAGGAAATCCTTCCATCAAACACGCTTAAATCACTTCCTTTCCTTTCCTTTCCTTTCCATTACATTGGTCGGGGGCAGTATGATTAAAAGTTCCGTTAACATATTTTAATTAAGCAAACGGGGCTTAATGTTCTTTAAATCAACGATCTTAAATTAAATTATATACACGTGATCACAAGTCATTTTCATTTAATAATCAAACCCTAATGAACGATATTATGAAAAAAATGACAATAAAATCTCGTTAAAATATAAAAATAATAATTAGGACTCTCAAAATATCATAATTATTCTCAAGTCCTTGAATATCTTTCTACATTAATAATTTTAAATTAAATAATTAAATTGCTTTTTGTTTAAAATAATCAATCATTATTCTTATTTAAACAATCACAATTTTTATTACGTGAATTATAAAAATTAAACAAAAAATTACAACTTAATATGTGAAATTTTTTTTATATTATTGAAATTCAAATTCTAAAAATAATTAGTCATAAATTTTATTCTGTAAATTTCAAATATTAGACAACAAATTATAAATTTTTACTTAAAAAATTCTTTTATTATTTAAATTTAAATTTTAAAAATAATTAATCATAATTTTTATAATAAATGTTGAATAAGAAATCACAACTTTTTACATAAAATTTTTTTATCATTAATTAAAAAATAATTTAATTATTTAACTTAAAATTATTATTGTGACGAAGGTATCAAAAAATTTTAAAGAAATTATTACATTTTAAAAATTTAATTATTATTTATATATTTGGGATGAAATAGGCACCGTACCTGAGGCTGATACCGCCAGATTTGCTGTGTCACGTTCACATGATTGCAGGAGTTTTTTTAATTTTCGGTGTGGGGCAAATAATGTCGACGGGACAAGGGACAACGGATACCAGCCAGCGTGCTTTGATGCTTTCTTTCAGATCTGTTTTCGCAATTTTTAACCAATCAAATAAGTTATAATTTTTTCGTAATAAATTTGTACTGTATTTTATAAGTTAGTTGTCAAAGGGCAGGGGTTCATAACGATTTATATGTATAAGTACGTCTGCATTTGGATAAGACTAAGGTATGTAAAATCAGACTGGTTATTAAACTGATCATGACACTAAGTTATGAATTAGTAGTTTAATTAGAATTTAATTGGAATTGAACAGGTGGCAAATCGCTCATGATAAAATAATATAATTTAAATTAAAAGACATTAATTATAAAAATATTCAACCAAATTCAACTATTCAAAAGTCTAACAATAATAAAGCACAACAGTTTAAATATCTATCCTTACAATTACAACCCTTCAATCTCAAAAGTTTAGAGAAGAGACAGAAATAGAGCTGGAGAAGAAATGGAGACAGCAGAGACGAAGATAGAGCTGGAAAAGAGACGAAGAGTCAAAGACTAAGCTAGAGAAGAGATGGAGATAGCAGAGACGGAGATAGAGCTGGAGAAAAAATGAAGAGTCAAAGACTAAGTTGGAGAAGAGACGGAGACAGTAGAGATGGAGATGGAGCTGAAGCCTAGAGAAGAGACGGAAGCTGAGCTAGATAAGAGACGCCGATTAAGTTAGAGCAAGAGAAGAGAGACACAGATGAAAGGTCGAATTGAATGCTGTCTGAAAATCTGAATTGGACTTAGCATGCTTTACCTCTAATTTTTCATTTTTTGTTATCTTATTTTTGAACTCAGCAATCTGAAAAATAAAAAATAAAAAAATCTCCCAAAATGATGTCATTTTAGGGGTTTTGATTAAAAAAATAATAACCTGATTAACCCAGTCAACCCACTGGGTTATCCGAGTTATGGTTGACTGGGTTATTATATCGATTCATTCCCTCACCGATTTATGAGTAAACTTAGACCGAACAAGGGATCTGGTCACCGATTTTCGAATTGACTCGGCTAGTTCGATTCAGGTTTCAATATCATGGATAAACCTTTAAAAATTATAAAGATAATTTCTACATAATATTACTTGCTATGGATGGTGATCAAATAGTTAGTTTGCAGGAAATTAGTAGTGTTTAGTGATAGAATTTATGCCTGAGAAGATTCCAACCCAATTCAATTTAAATTAGTCGAAATTATTGTCTTTCAAACTTCAAATGGTTTACTAAAAAAATATCAACTTTTTTTGGGACGAAATCTTGTGGTTAAGTATGCGCATTGGTTTGTAATGTTTCTAGTTTCATGATGCCTATTATACTTTTTTTTATTCCAATTAACGAAAGAAATGCAACCTATATAAGCACTTATTTGGTGAAAATTTCACATGGTTTAACCCATTGAAAAGTCTATTTAAGAAAAGGGTCTCATCACCCATCATAAATTATACAATTGAACTAGCATTTCTCAAATGTAACTTAATCACTACATTCTTGAGAGTCAACTATATCTGAAAGAAATTTTTTAAGATTAACTCTATAATCAAGTGTCAAAGTAATGTCATTGTCATGGATGGCGCGTCGCTTCTCTTTAATTTTCTTTTTCTTTTTTTTTTTGGCCGAAACGAAGTTGTTATTATTTCACATGATGAATATTTTTTCCTCTATTTTTAGTTTTTCTCTTTGAGTTTTAAATTATATAATGATACCTTAATCTTTTTATTGTGTGTGTGTATTAATTTTTTTCCTTTAAAAAAAGAAAAGGGTTTCACATTGCCCATCATTGTTGCCCCACAAAAAAAAAAAAAAAAAGCCAATGATCCTGCTTAATTTCCCACACATCAATACATATAAGCCCTGAGGCCTGAAGAAGATAGATAGATATATATATATATATATATACATATTAGACAAAAAGAAAAGGATTGAGTTTGGACCATCAAATCTCGATCACATAGTATGAAATACATAATTTCTTATTATAATATACATATAATGTGAAATAAAGATGATTTTTTGACTGTCATTTTATGAGAAAATTAGAGTTTACATATATGACTAGATAAGTTTTTCCTTATTACTAGCCAAATAATGTTTTCTCATATTTTTTGTATTCTTAAAAAACAAAAAATTTATTTCAGGCAATATGAATAATTGTAAATGTTATTTTTAAGGCCTTCTTGAACAAATGCCATTTTTTTTCAGGTCTTTTGTCAAAATTTTCCCCTATTAATTTTGGTAAAAAAAGCAAATAATTAAAAAATGCACACGTGGGGGCAATATACTTTAAAAACTATATATGTGGAAATGTTCTTTTAAGAAAAGGAGAAAATTTCAGAACCATAAAACAAATCCAAAATACCCGGTCAACAAAACTGATTTTTTTTTTTTTCATGCATAGATAAAATTACCACGTGATTCTAAGCATTGATTTTGATCTCCAAAAATAACCAAAGACCATACCAAAATTAGTCCCAAACCAGATTCGGCTCCATTCCTCCCCAGCTATAAAATCCCCGGGCAGCTTCTGCAGATCTAATAAAATAAAAACTATAAATAATAATAAATTACTATATTTATTTTTTTCTCTTATTATTTCTCGATCAATCAATCAGCCACAATAATGGAGATGAAGAAGCTTGCTTGTGCCGTCATCTTCGCCGTCGCCTCTGTCAGCGTCGTCATGGCAAACGTGCTGCCGGCCGTTTCTACCCAAGCCGGCACCACTCCGGAGGCCTCTCCCGCCATCACCGTCACCAGCACTCCGGCCGCAGCTCCGGGCCCGTCAAGCGGATCGGCTGGTCTTGTTCCTTTGGTCGGCGCCACCGTTCTCTCCTTCGTTGCCTGCTACATGCATTTCTAAGCCATGAACAGCTTGATCATTGCGTGAATTGAAGGGAAAAGGAGGAAAACGCAAAAGGATATAAGTGGTATATACATTTAAACATTATATTTATATGCACACACGCACGTGTGTGTCAAAAACATTTATTTATTTGTTTTTCTTTTTGGTCAAGACATTATTTATTTGTTAGATGATAGTAAATGACCTGTGAAAGATCCATAGAAAGAGGGTAATCAAATATCATTCTCTATTTTCCCCCCCCCCCCCACAGAAAAGTCTGAAACAGATTGATTACTGATGAATAAGTTTACTGTTTTCACAGGACGACAATTTTTGTTGGCTTAATAAAAAATAATGTATCTAATTATTTATTATTTATTTTAATTCCTAACTTTTAAGCTGGCTATATTCATTCTTATACACACACACATTGAGAATTGTACTGGAAGGCTAAAATGACGAGATTTTGAAATCAATTTTTTGGTGGGGACTAATCTCTTTCACGGTGTAGAAATCAGAAAAGTGAGCTTTGACTTGCCTCTCCAAATAAGATCTTTTCTCATGCATTTTTTTTGAGAACCAAGTGATCCAATCTTCTAGAGCTAACCCCGAAACATAAACTAAATATCTAATTATGTGAATGAATTTTGTTAATCAGTCCACCAACCCCAACCACATTATTTACAATCAAATAACTCCAATGATATGTGCCAAAGATAAATGATCTTTGAGGGACTCCATGATGAAGCTGCAACAATTTATCTATTTAATGCCTTAGATTGCTTATAAAGAAATTAAACTTAATCTTGCTGCCTGAGAATGAAACTCGGAAGGCCATGAATTAAAGGAATGAGCTGAAGCACATAAGCTAATAGTTGAGTTGAAGCACAATAATACCATGACTTTTAATTGAAGATAGAAGGTGACAAGTCCTTTAATAGATACTTATATTTGTAATGTTTGGCAATTTTTTGCCACATCTCACTACTTTTTTCTCTCTTGTACAGAAAATTACCACCAATCTCTTCATAAGGATATGATATTTCATACTTTGATACTGCTATGAATAGTCTTTTGAAAATGCTATGCTGCTATAAAATTTTTAAAATTGTCTCATCTTCATGTCCGATTTGGTCATATGTCTTACTGTCTGCTAATCGTGAAATGCCAAACTAATTCCATTTCTTCAAGATATGGCTTCTCAAGGAACTCTGTAAATTCAGCCTCGTTTATGTGATCCTGCTGGGATTGCATGCCTAATTCAATTACTAATAACCCTCACAAATTTAACCCCGCAAATGTAGAACCTTTTTTCGCTTATCAAGATGCTTCATACATCCCTGTATTTTTCTTCTTATTTTTAGGACCAGAACTTATATTTTAATTGTGCATGGATGATAGAGAAAGGTTATTTAATTTCTAGAGCTTTGTACTTTTTCTTTGCTCCTCCTGCACCAACTTGTGAATAATTATTTAATTTGTGTCACTTATACCAAATCACTTATCTGCAAAAGGATTCAAGTTCTCTAGCTCTAATAACCATCAATGTCCAATCCTATGCCACTAATGTCTCCATTTTGTAAGTTTGTATATTATGTGAGAGTCCCAAAAACTTAAAACACTTTCTTTTTGTTTTATTATACAATTACTTATTATTCATGAGCTAAGCCAAATACGACCACATTAATAGCAAAACTCTCTCAACAAGTATTTAACATAGTTGTATATTCACGACTCCAATTCGAGACTACTAGTTAAGTTAGAATCACCCCTTGCCATGATGAAAATTTCAAAAGTATGTAGGTATCTAAAACAAAGTTCTAGCTTTAGAGATATCAACATCATCAACAACAAAAATAACAATAATTTGAAGCATAATATCCTGAGTTGAGTGAGTGTAAGATAATACCAACATTTTGTTTATCGATTACTTTGCATTTTTGGCAAATTCTTACTCTTTTCTCAGTGGCATCTCAATGGAAGACTTAGCCAGTGATGGGAGATTCCTTATTGACTCTGGTAATGGTGTCAAACTCGAGCAATTCTTAACATGAAGATTTTGCAGTGATGTGAGATTTGCTTCTGGTTGTGATAGTGATGTCAGAAAATGATAGGAACAAGATTAGATCTCAAGTTGACAATTGATATTAGATTTCCCACATAATCTGGCAACCTTTTACTAGAGAACCCAATGATGCAAAGTCCATTGATCACCTGATGTGGCTGCAGTGCTTCTAAAATGATTTTCATCTTTATATTCAAGATTGGACTTCTCTTGGAAAATTCATCCTCTTCCATGTTATGCCTCTGACTTTCCAAGCATTTGACCTGTATTTGATGTGTAATTTCCCTCTCAATCCATGAAACCTTCCCAATTCATGGATCTTGACTGCATTGAGAGTCCTTCTATGGTTCAATAAAAATCATTGAAGTGTTTGCAGATGAATCAATAAAAGTCCGTGTCATACAAATCAAGGAACTTGATCTATCCAACTGAAGATTTTTGCGACTTATGTTTTGTTAATATCTCTTGGCTTTTTTTCCAAAGCTGGACCCAAAAAACAGAGTTTAAGGGCCTGCAAGAGTGACTACAGCACACAACTGATAAGGTCTTTTCCATTTTCAACTAGCTTAACAATTTCTTGTTCTTTTTCCTTTTCAAAAGGCCACAAAGAATAGTTCTCATGATTGTTGGAATATTTCTGGATTAGTGTTAATCGAAAACAAAATTCTAATTAAAATAATATTGTGGATGTCAAGTAATCCTTATGTTCTAATATGTACTATTTTGAAATGAATTGACTCTAATTGAATAAACTATAATATGTTGGAATATTTAATTTTAGGTAAATTGAAAGAAATTCCAACTCACAGCATATATGTTATTGGCAATCATGTTTAAACTAAAAGGGGTATTTTGGTTATTGGGTTTTATGACAAGAAATTTATGCATTGCTTTTGTTTTAGCAAGTATACGCTTGCCTTCATTATATTTCATGTGAGTTGCTTCTCGCAATAATCTCTTTCCCTCTATTAAGATCTTAGAATCTTTTGAGCAACCTCGTTGTTGCAATCAAGTTGAGCAAGTGTAGAATTTCCTAGTCCTCCAATGCCTACTATAGAAAATACTTAGACATTGTCCTGCACACTAGGGTTTATCATATAACTCATGATATGATTCTTTTCCTCGTCCTTCAAAATAAATTTCAAATCGTTCATAATTGTAGCGATGTGAACTACCCTTTTCATAATTCCTTCAACTTGTCTGACACCGAAACCTTACTAACTTAAAAAAAACTTAATCAAATACCATGATAATAAAAAATTTAAACTAATAAAATGATTACTATAGTATAAAGATTTAAAGTCAATTCTCATATTTATTTTGAAAAGATGAGCACGGTGAAAAAAGTTAATTTATATTTTAAGAAACTACCATAGTTACAAAAATTTTATCTACTAAATAGATATTTAAAATCTAGCCTTAATAAACAATAATTAAACTAATTAAAAAAGGCTACAAAGATTATAACAATTTACACTTACTATTTAAAATATAAATAACACTCTACAATGGTATAAAAGAATCTACCATAGTAGATAGAAAGAAACAAAAAAATAAATATTCTATTCAACAAAAATTTAGACTTACTAAAACTTGCAAACATGCATGTCACATCCCAACATAAATACTTAAATGTTTATTTTAATAAATGTCTTGATACTTTTAGAATTTTATATCAAAATATTTACTCTAAATAGATTCATTAAGCAATTTCTATAACCTTAGGCCTCAACTAATAAAATCCTTTTCAGTCATCAATAAATAACAAACAATTTCAAAACTCAACCCAAATGACAAATGAATCCTATATTGTAAATAATTATTCTATAAACTAAAATGGGACTTAAAGCTTACTCAAGCTAAGTCCCAAGCTTCCTAAATGCTTCTCCTTTGCTTCACTAAGCTTACTTAAAGTGTTAAAGAGTGGGGTGAGCACTAACGTTTCAATAAACTCAAAGTTTAACCATACATGCACAAACTACAACTACACAATTATACAATCAATATATAAGTGAGTGTACAAGAGTTATTCAGTTATAACATAAGAATTTTATGGGATATAACTCATAATATGTCAATATGCAACACCAATAATCTCCCTTGTTACTTCGTCCATCCTTATTCCACTGACTGGAATTATAAACTCAAATACGTCTGTCCCACATGTTAGACTAACTAAGCTTCTCTAGTGTTGAGATATATCTAGCCAAAGGTACAGAGTCCTAAGCCCAAACTATAGCTCCCTTACTTAAAACCTAATCAGGAGGTGTCACTGTCCCACATTCTCCCTTTACAAACCTGACCAGGTAAGTATTAAGGAATCGGGTTTGAAAAAAAGGCTAACCATTGTGCGCATAGTGGAGGCGAACCACGTGGTCACTAAATCATATATATAAATCAACATCATCATCTCCTCATCAACCCATCCCCAAATGCATACCGCATCTATACAACATTCACGTTGTATACAAGTATGCTTGAAAAGAGATATAAATATCTCATTCGATCAACTCAATTTATAAGCATGTTTGAAAGAAATAAACTACTCTTAAGTAATATACAATTTCCATCAAATAAACATTATTAATCTGCATTCACAAGCATGCTTAAAAAGAAACACCAACAATAATATATAGCTAAGTACAAGCAGCTACTATGAATTTTTTACAATTAAATTTACAATTATATACATTTGTTATCAAACACAGAGCTTGCACATATATAGAAAAACCCTAAATTACCTGTTCTCCTTAAGCCAACAAGTAGTCCCACAGCCAAAATTCAAGCAATTAAAAGCTCTTAATGAGATTTTACAAAAATCACATACATAAAAAATTAAGATATAATTTAAAGTTATTAAATATTACCTTAAAACTATTCTAAGGTGACTCTAAAATTACTCTAAGACCCTAAAGCTATCCTAAAAAGCTCCGAAATTTCTCCTTTTTTAAAGACCCATGTCTCTTTATAATTTAATTAATTTATTACATTAGCTTGAGTGCATCTAAACTTTAATTTTACAAGTTTTTAAATTAGATATTTAAGTGTTA